AAGTGTCCTGTGTTCATTACGTAGGCGTAAAAAACATCTCATAACTGCTTTTTGGTGCTCAGAAGAAAAGCATTCAATCAAAATTTTCCACTACAGAGAAAACCAATGTTTGAAAGCACTGGCATGACTGTGCATCCACTGTGTTTTTGTGCAGGCTTCTCTGTAGAGCATAATTAGCTGTAGTTGTTGAGATAGCTGTGGGCTTCCTAATCAGTGAGCCCATTTACAAAAGGCCCCTCATTTAGATCCACCTATTTCCATCACCATTAACATCATCATTGTGCTGAAGGAGTTTTCGCCCTTGTGTTTGAAGCTCAGCAGTAAAAGTGGGAGAGTCACCTGATGCCTGCTGTTTCCTCTTTCTCTGCAGATCAGTGTGGAGCTGTTGACTATACAGTGAGGACAGTAAATTATGTTCCAGTAAATTATAGGGCTGCACAATTAAAAAAAAAGAAAAACATATTTTGATCGCAAAATGCCTTGCAAAGTTTTGAAAACGCCACAATGCAATGAGAAGGTTGAAATAAGCATCATTTGCTCTGCGTTGACCAAAAGTATTTATCTTTATTGCATGTTACAAATCCATACATCCACAGAAACTCATCTGGAACATCTGGCACATTATTTACATTTGGGCTTAGGAGATTTATCTGTAAATTTATTGTAGGGATTGTTTAAATAGTTATCTGAGGATGTTTAGAAGAGCACAGCTGTGCCCAGTCAGAGGAATAAAGGAGACTGAAGTATCAAATATTTTCCTGTGCATTTGTTTGCTTTTTCAAAATGTAGTTATGTTATATTTGAAGTTTGGGGGAGGAGCATGCCTGAAACCCCTCCTTCTTCCAATCTAACGCCCTATAAATTCACATCCTCACCTTCCGTTCCTGTGACGAAGTGTTTGCAATCCCCACCACCACCCCATCTCCTCTCTGTTCCTCAGTCCTACATCAGTCCAGCTATGAGGGGGTCCAGCTTTCTAGCTACAGGTAGAAGCTGCCCAGAACTACAGCCCAAGTTCTCAGAGTTCTTCCCCTCCCTCAATCATTCTTTTCATACTACCACCACATGTTGAAGGCATGATCTGAACTCACAAAATGCTAATGGATCTCTGAACTCATGTCATCATTGTAGTCTGTGTCATTAGATTTTAGATTATATTAATGCTGTTGATCGATGATATTGCATCCTGTGATTGACACAAATGTTCTAAAGGTCATACACTGTATGTTCTTCCTCTAAATTTTACTGTATTCTCTGAATTCAGAGCAGTTAAGGAGTTGAAACATGAATATTGCTACATGCAAGCTACCACTGCTGTGCACTGAACTGACATCTTAAGACTGGCAACATCACCAGAGTGCCCCACACAAACCAGCAAGCTATGTTAAATGGGGTAGTTAAGTTGCTTTGGCAGATTTAGGCTGCAGTTGTTAGCTGGTGTTGGTATATAGCAGTTTAAAGTCATAACAGTAGTTATAGAGGACCATGCACAGGATTGTTAGATTGCTTGTAGCATTATTCATATTTTGACTGCTAAATGACCTTGTAATTCAAAGCATTACGTGACACTCGAGGGGGAAAATTTGTAAGACAAAAATTGTTGGGTAGAGGTGATTTTCAAAAATGCCATTCAAATTCCTTATGAAGAAAGTAAGCTTAGACCTGGGGTTTCTTATATAGGCATGATTGCGACTGCAGAATGACTTGTGACTTCAGGGGTTTATTCTTATTCTTTTTCGGACAATAACATTTATTATTTTCTGTTCAACAGTTAATTCAAAACAATGCAAGTATTATATGGTATATTACAGGTAGTGGTGAAGCTGCGTACTGTACTCAACCAATGACCTCCCCCCAAACCCTACCCATCCAAGTGTGGAGAAAAGAAAGTTAAAAAAAATATACTACCATATAGAAAAGATATGGCAACAATCTGTAATCTATTTTCAGCTTTTTCCATTTAAGAACCAGAATAGTGACAGCATTGAGAGCTCATGTTACATTAAAGCTGCACCATGTAAGGTTTGGGGATTTGGAGACCTCTCTGGTGGAAGTGTGTAATTGCACTCCCCTTCCCCATGCACATGAATCTGATGATTACGAGTGCATTGAGAGAGAATTCAGAGACAACTTAGTCAAAACTTGGTGAAGGACGTGCCTTCTGAGGATGTGAGTGATATATTTACAATTACCATCATATCTTCATCAGTGTAATATTAATTTTGCACTTGAGACCTAAATCTTGAACCAGACCTTGTTTTTGAGCCTGTGTATGTCTGACGCATGACTCCCGATGCCTCTGACTTTTTGAATCATTATTTCAGGTTTACAGGGCGGCTCATAGCAGCTCATGTACACCATATTTTAGCCTGTTTTCTTTCGCCGACTGTTACAATCCCACATTGTGTGTAGGATGCTGTGGGATCAGTGACGTGTCATGTAAAATATTGGACAGACAAATAAGAGATTTTGATGATATTTTATTAAAACCAACCACAATAAAAATGCTGTGCTAAGACACCTAGTACCACATACTGGAAGTATTAAACTGGACAGCACCAAAGGGAAAAAAATAATAAAAAAGAAACAAAACAAAACACTTGCCTATTTTGAAACTAAAGGACTTCGCTAAACTACAAAATGAAAGAAAAACTGCACTAAACGTCCCTGGCCAATAATCACCTTCTGACCTAGGGAACTACACTGTCACATGGTGTGAATGTATAGGTGCGCCCCTCTTACTTGTTTGAAACCCCAGATGGTACAAATAGTCAAGCAGCTCTTTACAAGTAAGGTAAAGTTGGGCTGGCAAGTTTTACCACACATAAGCACATCCCTAACACAACAAGACAAAGACTCCTGTATACAAAATTAGGGAATGTGCTGGTAAACGCCCAGCTAAAGCATATCCCCAACAAAGGAGCTGCATAGTTAAAAGTATGCAGGTGAAATACCACAGCTAAAGTATCTTCTGAACACTAAAGATAAGCTCATGTAAAAGTTGAAGGAACTACTGGAAAATACTAAAAAACACACCCCTAACACAAAAGATGAAAAACACAAACAAAACACAGCACATATGTGATATCAGTCCTCTCTCTCTCTTCAGCCACCTTGAAGGTCTCTTTTTAGGGCTTAGGCTCCTCTGCCCCCAATAACACCAGCCAGGATTGAGATTGGTCAGAGGCCCTGATGGCAGAAAGCAGGCACACTTGCGATGGAAGAAACCAGGGGAGGAAGAGAGAGACACACACACACACACACACACACACACACACACACACACACACACACACAGAAACCAAAATACACACTTGCTTGACTCAGTACTGCTATTTCTTTTCATTTTAACCCCTTAAATGGCCAGTTGTATTACACCATTCTACAACCTGGAAATAGCTCCACCAGTTTGCGTTGAAGTACCTGTAGTTACTGAAAAATATGCCTTAGTGTGTAATAAGCCTGCGATTTTAAGGGGTTAACAAAACCCACATAGTCCAGCTTTAAACTTTTTCTCAGGCCCCCTAGTGGCTGTTCTGCCAGCAGGATAGGAATCAACTTTTTAATTATTTTTTAATTAATATAATCAAATAAAATATTTTTTCCTGTAACTCTGTTATCAGATTACCTAGGACACAGTTGGCTCTCTGTGAGCCTATTTACACCTTTCATTAATTAAAAATGCAGAAGTGTGGCCAGATGAATTTCAATTGTTCTTTTCCCACGCAAAAAGCACATCAACACATACATCGTTTCTGTTTTACTTTTGTTTACTTCTTCCATGTCACGATACCAGTTGGCTAGCACGGCTCGGGCGCTTTTATCGACCCAGAGTGAGTAAAGGCTCTTGATCTGGGGCTTACTGCAGCCTCGTATATCTTTCATTTCGTTATTTATTCTGTCACCTGCTAGTCAGAGCTCAGCAGACGCATTTCTGCTCACGTAATTATGTACAGATAACAGAGAAAACATTTAGTTTACACGTGTTCAACGAGGTCAAGATCTGTCTCTGAGTACCTCCCAGCGTGGTGAGCGATCTGATCGGTATCCAATCATAGCATGTGTTTACACCTGGCTTTTATGCCTTCAAGTGAAATCCGAACATGACCCAAAACATGCAAAGTGTACACAGGCCCTATATGTGAAATGTGTTGAGCTGCTAGCGTGCAATGATGGGTGAAAGGGGAGGGGTGAGCATCACACCTCTCCACAAAGATGGCCATGCTGAGATTAAACAAGATTAGCATTTAAACACACACATCTAATCTACTTATCCTTCTGGGTCACGGGGGGTGCTCTAGCCTATCCCAGCAGTCATTGGGTGGAAGGCAGGAAACACCCTGGACAGGTCACCAGTCCTTCACAGGGCAGACAGACAGACATATACAATCACACACACTCACACCCAGGGGCAATTTAACGTTTCTAGTTGGCCTGACATGCATGCGAACATGAAAACATGCAAACTCCACACAGGACTCTGGTCGCTCAGCCAGGAATTTGAACCCAGGTGACAGTGCTACCCACTTTGCCACCATGCCAACCAGCATTTTAACACAAAAACAACAAAAAAAACTTTTTATATTTGTTGACTTACTTGTTCACCTATGAAGAGAAAAATCAAGTTCACTTCTAGTTTTGTATATCACACATTTCCATCAAAATAAACTCCATTAACATTATTGTAAAAAAATACATGCATCTCCAAAACATGCAGAAATTGCATTTTAAGAAAACTACATTAAGGCAGAAATAATCACATTTTGTTTCTTTTTATTTTTTTCCAGAGTTTTAACCTCTTAAGATTCCAGGCTTATTGCACACTATGCCTTATTATTCAGTAACTACAGGGACTTCAGTGCAAACTGGTTGAGTTATTCTTAGGTTATAGAGGTGTGTATTAAGACTGGCCTTTTAAGGGGTTGATAATTTATATTTTATATTTTAACATATTCCAGTCCAGCTCTGAGACTGCCTGTATTGTACTGCTGCTTCCTCAGGTAATGCAGTGGTGTATGGGGACTCAACAGATGTGTACAGCTGTGTGGAGATGCTGCTGTGCTTGGGCGTAAGAGGCTCCAGGATCCATGTGGTCCACACACTTGCCGACAAACCTACGTCATGCTTCCAGAACCCTGCAGTGGACCAGGCGGTCAGGAGTGCTCTGCAGAACAAGGAGGTTCACGTCCATCACAACTGCCTGTTGGTTCAGCTGAATGATGGACAGCATCCTGAACCACTCACAGCAGTGTCCTTTACCACTGACGGCCCACCTCTCAGACTGGAGTGTACTGTGAGTGTAAATCAATAAAGCTTCCGTGTGAGGAAGAAAAGATTCAAGAGGGAAGTGTGTGATAGTGAAGGACAGCAAATCTGTGGCGGTTACTATGTGAGTTTATATACTGTATATCAGAGAGCTGTTCTGATCGACTGCCTCATTATAAAAGAAGTCCAAGCTGAAATGTGTGGAGCAAACTGTGAGGAGTCATGGGATCAGCTGCCTGATCAGTGACAGTGGTAATATGTAGTATACACCGATCAGGCATAACATTATGACCTTGTTTCTACGCTCATTGTCCATTATATCAGCTCCACTTACTATATAGGTGCACTTTGTAGTTCTACAATTACAGACTGTCGTCCATCTGTTCCTCTGCATACTTTGTTAGCTCCCTTTTACCCTGTTCTTCAGTGGTCAGGACCCCAATGGACCCTCACAGAGCAGGTTTCAGCACTGCAGTAACACTGATGTGGTGGTGGTGTGTTAGTGTGTGTTGCACTGGTCTGAGTGGATCAGACACAGCAGTGCTCCTGGAGTTTTTAAACACCTCAGTATCACTGCTGGACTGAGAATAGTCCACCAACCAAAAATATCCAGCCAACAGCGTCCTGTGGGCAGCATCCTGTGACCACTGATGAAGGACTACAGGATGACCAACACAAACTGTGCAGCAGCAGATGAGCTATCGTCTCTGACTTTACATCTTCAAGGTGGACTGACAAGGTAGGAGTGTCTAATAGAGTGGACAGTGAGTGGACACAGTGTTTAAAAACAGCACTGCTGTGTCAGATCCACTCGTACCAGCACAACACACACTAATACACCACCACCACATCAGTGTTACTGCAGTGCTGAGAATGATCCACCACCCAAATAGTACCTGCTCTGTGAGGGTCCATGGGGGTCCTGACCACTGAAGAACAGGGTAAAAGGGGGCTAACAAAGTATGTAGAGAAACAGATGGACTACAGTCTGTAATTGTAGAACTACAAAGTGCTCCTATATAGTAAGTGGAGCTGATAAAATAGGCAATGAGCGTAGAAACAAGGAGGTGGTCGTAATGTTTTGCCTGATCAGTATATGTGTCTTGTTCAAAAACAATCTGGACTGAAATGTAAAACAAACTGTGAAGTTCAGACCATGATATGTAGAGCGGGGGTTCTTTTTTTTTACAGGGATTTTTTACCAGTTTTTCTCTCCAATTTGGATGTGTCCCATCACACCCACTAGTTAGGACTCCCTCAATTACACAATATCACCAGCGCAAGGAGGGCGAAACCTAGGACATTATTTTACCTCACACTGGGTTCATACTACACTTGAATGAGCACTGTGGTATGATTTCAAAGACAGGAATTAAGCCTGGTATTGGACTAAATTGCATTGTCAGTTTCACTGTTAGAATCAAATTGAGTCCAGGCGTAGGCCTAAGTCTGAGAAACTGGCCCTATAGGCCAGGACAAATGGATTTCATTTTTGAAACATCTAATGCGGGTTACAACTGATACCTTCTTAGTTAAGGAATCATTTGTAACTCATATGAATGAATTCCACTATCCAGTGCAGCCCTGAAGCTCAGGACAGTCTTAGTTCCTCTCAGTGTTTCTTTACAGTGAATGAAGGTAATTGATAGCAACTAATAAATAATTTAATAATAATAATATTTTTTCCCTTTCAGGTCTTCTTTAACTTCTCCTATAAAGGGGTAGACTTTGACGCCTTCAAGGCCATTAATGATGCCTGTCTCGTGTTTGATGGCCGCCTAGTTATTGACACCACCTTCCACACAAATGACTACACCATTCGAGCCGCGGGACCTTTAACAAAGTTTGCCCGCCGCTACCATGCTGACCAGTGGTCCCATGTTAACTTTAACTCAAAGGAGGTGGGCCAGGAGCTGGCATCTATACTGTTGCCCTTTTTTGACCCCACACTGGAGGTGCCTGCCAAACCCACACCTGACGTGGACCGCCTTATGCCCACCTACACACAGCCTAAGACTGAAGGTAAAGTTTAAGTGACTGTGGTACAATTTGGTACTTGTGGTCTCTAGATTTACAGGGGAAGTCCACTGATTTTCCAAAATTTCTGCATGATTCAATTGTTGAGAACTTACAGACTCAGATTTCTTTACAGTGGTGGTGATAGGAACCAGGAGTCACCATGTCTACAACACAAATAAAGACATTATATTTACTATCCAAAACCAGCAGTGAACCTGCAGGTGTTTTCTGAGTTTTATATGGAATGTTGATGGTGGTAAATTCTTTGGATAAATATTTTGCCTTACAATGCCCTGCATGTACATCTCCATCATGGATGGCTTTAGGCCAAATACTGATCTCAAAATCATAAAACGATATCTCAAATATCAGGCAGCATATTCATAACCATTTCGTGTAATAACTTCCTGTGAGGGAGCTTTTAAAGACATTAAACTCTTCAGACGTCTGGTTCCTATCATCACCACTGTGAATGATTCTGACTTGGTTAGTTTCTCTAGAATGAAGCATTTCACATCAAACCACTGATCTGTGACTGTTTACATACTACATATAAATTTAATTATGCAGAACTGTTGAAAATTGGTGGAATTCGCCTTTAAACAGTATATTTTCTCCTCTAAGACAATATAAAAATTGCATTTAGAATAGAAATCATGTGTGTCTGATTTATTGATGTTATATTACTATTGTAATAAAAAGTGTAACTTCCAAAATTTATACAAGAAATTCAGACTTCAACAACTGAACTAAATTGCAGGCAGCCACTTTAGACCACAGGATCTGTGTTCACAAACCACCTCAGGGTGCAGAAGAGCGGATCTAGAATCAGTATTTGTGACGATTCGAGCCGAGGGACCTTTAACAAAATTTGTCCGCCACTACCACGCTGACCAGTGGTCCCATACTGACTTAAACTCAAAGGGGGTGGGCCAGGAGCTGGTGTCTGTACCACTGCCCTATTTTGACTATTTTGGAGGCGCCAGCCAGCCCTGCTAACCCTGCTGTGAGTGATGGCAAGGGCGTGAGATGGGGGGCTACCTCATATCTGCTATATCTATATATCTGCTCTCATATAAATACAACAAATCTCTCTTATATGCTATGAAAATATGCAAATAAATATACTTCTGTTTCTACTCTCTCTCTATCCATCCATTCATCCATCCATCTATCCATCCATCCATCCATCCATCTCGATTTGATGACAGTATATTGCACACAATCTCATGGGAAAACTACACTTGTACATGGCCTAGAAACGTGTGGAACTTGTGGTAGTAAAGAGTTCAATGCTTTACAGGATTGGGCAGTGATCACTGATAAGTGTGCCTTTTGATTAGTCCTGTAGCAAACACGGTTATTGGGAGAGGATTTCTGTGCTGCAACAATAGCCTTGTTACCTTGAGCTATTCTGAGTGCTGTGATAAAAGCGTGCAGAAATGCTGTATCGTTGTGAGAGCAAGTGGCCATATGCTTCATTGTCTTCTGCAACTTGTTAATTGTGCTGTGTCTAAACAGTAACTTCTGTGCAGAGTGTGACAGCATAAATATAGTATTAGATTGCATTGTGTCATCTTTGCTCAGCTTTTGATTAAACCCTTTTACAACAGCTCTGAACTGAATAACAAAAGGAAATAATATGCTTCATTCATCCTCTTTCTCTGTGCTTTTCATTCACAGGTGGAAGGTTGCCAGGTGGATACAGTTATCTTCACATCAGAAAACCCTCCCTCTACACTGGCACAGCGCCTTCAGTTGCTAAACCAGTAGGTTGCATTTTAGTTTGGAAAAATTGTTGCGAGAAAATTTACACTACTATACAAACATTTTGTATCATTGTTTTAAATGTCACATATTTCTCCATTTTTTTCACAGATAAATGTATGTAATGATTCTAATACGCTTATCCTGTATAACTTTACAGGTTTCAAATAATCAGGACATCAGAAAGCTGTAAATAATGTTAGATGTGTCCAGAATGGTGAACTATAGATGATTCCAAATCACTGTTTTATTTTAAAAAATAGGAGAGGAAATCTTTGATTTTGTCATGAAATGGCTCCTTAAATTTAACTTAGCCTTCTAAAATACCTTGAAAAATTGAATAAAACAACTTAAAATGTCTTCTAGTGACTAGTTTCTATTATTTCAAACTACACTGTGTTACCATTGAACAAGCAGTTCTTTGAACGCTATTGTAGGCCTTTACTGTGTCTTGGTAATCCTGCACCAAGCTCTTTTACTCAGTAGATATCAGTGGAGCACTAATCTTTAATCCAATCACATTCAGACTGAGATCAGATTAAGGGTCTTGTTTGTGTCCTGCAGGGCCGAGAGATGGTGACTGGACGTGTTGAGACAGGAAACTACTTTCACCTCCAGTTTAACTCACAGGGCCTGGTGGAAGGCGTCACCTGCCTGTCTCTAAAACCACTTCCAGTCTCCAACTACATCTGCCTGTACAGCAAACACCAGCTGCTCCTCAACCACCTGTACGAACGCTTTGATGAAGACCTGGTCCATGACTTCTACAGGTTCTACACAAACATTTCACACTTTTCTCACAGAAACATTGTTTCCTTTTGAAATTCTTTCAAGGACCGTATATATATCCTGCACTCTCAGAAGAGAGGTACTAAACAGTCACTGGGGTGGAACCTATCATATCAGTGGAACCCTAAAGGGTACATCTTCACTGAAGAACAGGGTAAAAGGGGGCTAACAAAGTACGCAGAGAAACAGATGGACTACAGTCTGTAACTGTAGAACTACAAAGTGCACCTATATAGTAAGTGGAGCTGATAAAATGGACAATGAGTGTAGAAACAAGGAGGTGGTCATAATGTTATGCCTGATCGGTGTATATTTGTGTTCATTCAGAAAGCAGCGTTCATTAAGAAAGTCCAAGCTGAAACAAATAATATATATATATATATATATATATATATATATATATACTTACGTATACATACAGTTTAGCCCCACCTACGACCAAAGTTATTTGTTTCAGCCTGGACTTTCTTAATGAATGCTGCTTTCTGAATGAAGTGCAAGGCAGGGCAGCCAATCTAAACAGATTATTTACATATATTAGTCTTAAATGCACAGTTAAAAAGCAGTCTGTTGAACTGAATAAAAAGAAGTTGGAAAAAGGTAATGTAAAAAATAATTGTGATTATTTTTGATACATGAAACTATGCAAACATTATAAGTGGATCTCAATGAAAAAAATAGAAAGCAGTAGAATATGTAGGATATGAGCACTTTTTGTTGCAATTGTTGTACCTTTGAGGGTGCCTTTAAGTTGATGCACATTCTATTTAGAAATTGTAACATAAATCTAGAGTAACACAAACCCAAAAGTATCTCCATTTTATTCCATTTTTATCTTTCTACATCATTTGAACACAGCAGCCATCCTTTGCATTATGTGACATTCATGATAAATGGACCAATAGAAATGCTCCAAAAGTGCTTGGAATGAAATCTCTTTACATTAAAAAACAACATTTTGCCTTCTCCTGTAAAGTTACCATTCTGGAGATACTTGTTTTTTAGTGGACAGTGACTATATACTATATTACTATCTCAATTAATACCTTGGGTTTAAATAGATTATCACATAAGCATGACCGCATGGTGCCTCTACTGATAACTAAAGCATACAGTGTAGGCTATGTATAGCTTGATTACATGACAAAAAACTACGTTCAGTTTATCATAACAGTGTGACACACATAGAAAATACAAATCATTTGAAGCTATCAGTGCACTGTAAATGTAGGTATGTTAAATGTAGGTGTGCTACAGTTTCTCAGTATTCTGAAAGGGATTTTTGCTACCATTCTGTGAAGCTTGTCCTAGCAACAGTAGCTACTAAAGAACACATTTGTGGGTGGAGCATGAATAGGCCAATTTCTAATAACACCGTTTTCCAGTCCAAGGCTAATCTTAATTTTGATTTAATCTGAGATTAATCTTAACCATGTCTTGTGTATAAGTGACTTCTTAAATCTGGTTTTGTGTAATTAGAAACTAGGTCCTAACTATGTGTTTTTATTTTCACAGATATTCTTTTATACTGCCAGTATTGTATTTAGCATCATATAGACAGATAGAATATACATATGTATCATAGGGATACATATATAGTATACAGACGTATACAAAATGGTATAATTGCATGTTTTGTTAAGCGAATTTGTGACCACGTTGAAGACTTTATATTAAAAAGGTAACAGTGTTTTTTTTGTCCTATCTCTTCCATTGAAGCTTATGTTCGGATGACTCTCTGGTGGATTTGATCTGCTCTTCATTTGTGCAAAGTTGTGGAGTCAGTGCAGCTCGAGACCAAATACTGAGAAATTAATGTTAAAATTTCAAAGATTATACTCACAATAGATTTTGCAATGAATTTTCACTAGTGCTCTCAGGCTTTTGGACCTCACTCTATAGAGTATATATATATATATATATAACATGTATCATGTGAAAAAGTGAGTACACCCTGTGAAATAGTGTTTCTGTTCGAAGGTCCACTTCTTCAGCTTCAACTTTTGGCAGGTGGCCTCACATTCTCCTCAATGGGAAATAAAAGAGCATGCGAGAGAATTCGTAGTTGATTCTATGGTTGCAAGTTGGCCAGGTTCTTCTGACCGAAGGCCTCAGAGAGCTTTTTGGATCTAGGGATGATGATACCCCAAACTCTAATGACAAACAGCAAAACAGGTATCTGAGGTTTAAATAAAATCGGTTCCTCGAAGAGCACCTGATTTCCATTTGACACATATATATGTGATATGTAAGAAGTGATATATAAGGGTGCACTTACTTTTTCCACATAAGGAAATTCCATTTCTGTTTATTTCATCTATATGAATTATATCAAATGTGTTCATTTTATGCATTCCTTGATAAATTAGATCACCTTTATCAACACTGTTTAAAAGAAGACCAGATGTTTGTATGTCCAAATATGCTGAAAAACTTTTCATGGGGTGTACTTACTTCTTCACATAAACATTTGAATCTAATGTGTTGTATAGAGATATAGATATATTTAGTATCAAACTAACATCATGTATTACTATCATATCTGTGTTATTTTACTTTCCTGCTGTATTTTGATGTTTGTGTATTAGACAGTGCTTATGAGCCTCTCACCTCTACATAGACCGGTCTTTAAGGCATGCTTGTTTTATGACGTTCCCCCAGTTCAAATCATGTTATCATTGTTTCTATGGAGATCCCTCCCCGCGGCTTGCGTGTGTAGATCTATGTCTGACAGTGTGACCTCTTTTCTAATATTTTAACACTAGCGACCCATCAGCATCAGCGCCATTGTTCCTCAGCCCTAATCTGTTTATGCAGGTGTCCAATCTGCTTTGCCGCATGGCCAGGAGACAATGGCTCAGCCGCCCAGCAGTGGTCATCAGCCGCTCCGCCACTTATTAAATCTGGATTCTTCACTGGCCTCTTGTCTTGCTCTGAATGAAGCCTGCTCTCAATGTCATTATTGAAACTGGCTGAACATCAAGAACCGTTAAGATAATTGATTGACCGTGCTGTTGCGCGGCAGCTATTAGATGAACATGCTTAGTGCTGTGTGTGTCTGTGTGTGCGTAAGGAGAGAGAAATAAGCTTTCAGTAATTCTTTTATTTACTTTTTCCTTCAGCTATTTCAGGGAGAGGTGGTGCATGGCCATATTTCATGACCGCTTTGCTGACTTTGAGCAGGAAGTGCGTCAGATCATGGAATCAACTAAAGTCCAGGTTAGCGCAAGCTTCACTAATGAAGCACTAAATGTACTGGATGGCATTGAATGTACTTGATTCCAATGTGTACATCATTGCCACATGAATAAATTATATTACAAACCTCAGTTCCAAAAAAATTGCGACATTATTTGCAGCGAAAATAAAAACAAAGCAGTGATTTGTAAATCCATATTGCCCTGTATTTAAATGAGAACAGTGTAAAGACCTAATATTTAATAGTGAACTTCATTGTTTTTTAATACATGTTCATTCTGTGATTTTGTTTTTCCAAAAAGTTGGGACAGGGACTAGCTATGCTGTCAAAAAAACTGGTAATGCAATCATGCTTGGGTATAAGAGGAGCATCCAGGAAAGGCCTAGTTCTTTATGAGCGAGGATAGGTTGATGCTGACCACTTTGCCAAGAAATTAATCAGTAAATGGTCCAACAGTTCAAGAAAAAAATGTAATTGCAAGGATTTTAAGTATTTCACCCTCTACAGTGTATCAGAGACTCGAGAGACCCCTCAGATGGCACTGCATTAAAATCTGGCATGCTTTCATGATGGATGTTACCACACAGGTTTGGGAATGCTTTTGATGACAAATGCATGTTAAGATTGTACTATGCACAGTGGAAGTCGTATGTCAAGAGCATCCAGAAACACTGCCGACTTCTCTGGGCTCAAGCTCATCTGAAATAGACTGATGCACATTGGAAATGTGTATTGTGGTCTGACAAATCAACCTTTCAGATTAAGGAAATAATGGATATCATGTTCTCCAAAGAACAAAAGAGCCAACCAGATTGTTACCGGCATAAAGTTCAAAATCCAGAGTCTGTCATGGAATGGGGGGGGGTTGTTACTGCCCATAGCATGGGTAACTTGCACATCTGTAAAGACATCACTGATGCTGAGAAATACTTACACATTTTGAAGCAACATATGCTGCCTTCCAATTGCTGTCTTTTTCAAAGACGTCAATGCTTATTTCAACAACACCAAGCCACGTTCTACATGTGTTACAACAGCATGGCTGCATAATCCCCTTGAAAATGTGTGGCACATTATAACGCGCAAAATACGACAACTTACAGTTGTGCAGCAGAAGACTTGTATGACGAAAGAATGGCAAAAAATTCTGCTTTTAAAACTGGATCAGTTGATTTATTAGTATTAGTTTACAGTTAATAAGTGTTCAAAGGAAAGGTGAGGTAACAGTGGTAGACATGCCCCCACTTTTTTGGAATGTGTTGCAGCAAATTTGCATATATATTTACATAGAAAATACATTTTATAAGCTAAATCATAAAATATTCTGTCAATTATCACCTACATGCTGTATAAAAAGTGTCCAGCTAAATTGATTAGATGTGATATATTATGTTATATTCATGTGGAAATGATTTACACATTTGAATCAAATTTACTTTACTTTTTCAGTGCTAAAACAACAGCACTAATTCTGTTACTGCATTTTGACCCTAGCTTGACCAAGACTCTTTGTCCATTCCAAAACTTGCTGAGATGATAGTGGATGGCACCTGGGAGGTACCTGCAGACCCATCCCTGTACTTAAACCAGATCTTTGAGCAAAGTGAAGGACCACAAGCCCTGAAGAGAAGCGTTCTGGATTACCTGAAGTACAACAGATATCATCTCCCCATGTACGCACAGCCTGGATTACTGTAGCAGTCACCAATGCATCTTCAAAACAAAAATCATTATTATAAGCTGATTGTCTCCTTATGTTTTAGTCTGGAAATACTGTACTCATTTAGTTACTCCATTTAAATCTAATTAGAATTTTTTCTGACTGTTTTCTGTTTGTTTTGATGTCGAAAGAGTCTTTCTTTCAGAAAAACAAGACGGTAAACATAACCATAACCTCAAATCATAATAAAATACTTCCTCCTCTACTTTCCACACAATTTCTCCACTTCAGTGAGCTACGAGTGCAAAACAATGAAACAAAACGCAAGAAGAGGCGTTTCAAGGCTTATACACAAGAAGGGAACCTTCAGTGCCTATTACGCCTTCAGAGAAGGCCTAATGATTTCTGTGAATTAAAAAAAATAGTCTGTCATTTTTTGTTCATGTGTATTTAATAGAAACCTCATGCTCGTTGTCCTTAAATTTTGCAAGCATTGTAGCATTACTTTTATTTCATTCTTACATTGACAGAAAATTATCCAGTCAGGATTTTTTTTTCCAGTGGTATCTGGACAGATACAGCCAAGAGAGCTCTCCTATTGGTTAGGCCATGTCACACCATGAACATAATTAGTAGACGAACCTACAGTGGAATCAACCAGTCATATTTTGATGCACAATGGGACCAACTTTATGAGATGAAATGTCAGGTCTTGAGGTCTTCTGGAAGTTGTAGATATGAGCCGTTGTCTAACCAGGTTTCAGTTACTTTTTGGAAAACAGCAGCTCAGGACTCTTTACCGAGTGACTTACTATAAAACTGATACATAAAAGGTAAAACATGTTCATCTATGTTACAAGCTGCAAATAGAACGTATGCAATTCATTCATAAGCTTCAAACATCTGTGTTTAATCGAGAACAACTGTCGAAAAAAAAGGACATAATCTATCCTGGAATCGATTTCAAACCTTTATTACTGTACTATGATTGTTTATTGAATTATGCCTTTACAGTTATTGGTAGTCCTCCCTTTTTCTTCTTATTTTTTTTTATTTATTTATTTTTTGATATTGTTTTTGTTTGCCCTGTTTTACATATAAATTGCTATATGTTATCTTTAGGCTCATGACGTTGAATTCCTCCAGTCATTAGACCAGATTTGCACCCCTAAAAATATATATTAGAATAGATGCAAATAAACATACATTTTTAAACATAGATTTTTTTCTGTAAAAAAAATGTTACATGTTGGTTAGACGAATCCAGGTTTGGTTCCTGACCGTACACTCCAGCCATAGCATGGATTTGTTAAATTACATCAGCAGCACCTCATTTAATTTAATAAAGGATTTATATTGGACTTCCTTGAGGAGAGATCTGGAAATGGTTAAGCAAGCAGTGACATTTTTCAGTAGTAATTTACTACTTATTGTTCTGTTATTTGTATCTATTCTAATATTAGTGGGCTTTTTTTGAATGATTAAACACTTACTGCATGTTTACTGCATGTCAGATGTTTAAGACTTTTGCAGTGTATTTGATAATAATAGTGATTTACTGCATTCCTCTAGCTGTGTCTCTTGGTAAGTAAATATACTCTTGTTGTAACTAATAATAGAAAAGGCTGGTGGAGAGTGATGCTCAGTCTGAAGTATCTGGCTTTTCAGCCTTGTGGTGGGACATTATTTACAGTCGGCTGGCTCAGGGCAGGGCTGGAAAACGCAGCATGACTCCTCCGTGCAGTCACAAAGGGCCGTGGCGAGGGTGGATTTGCGGAGTTTTAAAGAGACTGTGGCAGCTGTATGGTAATGTGACGCAAATCTCTGGCGCGTCCACCTTGCAGTGCAGCACACGCCACTGAACAAACACACACCCACGCGCCTGTACGCATATGACCCATCATGCGTGCATCACTTACAATGCAGGCCTGATAACAGAACATAGATAAAAGCAAAGCTGTGAAAATGGTGCTCTCGTTTGTGAATGCTTCAGTTGACCTAACTGACTCTTTCTTACCAAAAGTTAATGCAAACTGTGTCACAGGTGGAGAATGAAAATGTGCTGAAAAATTGCAGCTTCTGTAAAAAAGAAAAGAGATTTTACAGATGCTTCACCAAGTCATTGCCTCATAACAGCTGTTGCTGTTATAAAGTTATAGAACTGTCAATAATTAAGCTAGATATTGTTAATTCTTCCTTTTTTATGTTTTGTACTTAAACCAAATCATTTACATGAACGGTAACCACACAGGAAGATAACTAAATAGTTTGCAACATGATGGTAGATTCTCTTGAACAAACAAACAATAAATAAATTGTAGAATCAACTGTAACTGTCTACAATTTGTATAGGACACAGTGTACCTGTACACAAACGGCCATTATCTTTCTGTGCCACTGTCCAGTTTTTTAATGGCCAATGAGGCCTACACTGTAAAAAGATACTATTTTAACATAAAAAGTAACCTGGCTGCCTTGAAGCTTCTGTTAGAGTTCACAGACCATCTAATGGTGAAACAATAATCTGTGTCTTCCATTTTGTCAACTTATAAATTTATAAGATTAATCAAATCTCAATTTTAAGGCAGCCAGGTTAAAGTGGAATTCCACTGATTATTCAAAATTTCAACTTAATTCAGTAGTTGAGATGTAAACAAAGTCATTCAGGGTGGTTTGATGTGAAATGGTTAAGACTTACTGAGTTCTTTACAGTGGTGGTGATGGGAACCAGGGGTCACAATATCTACAACACAAATATAGCCATTTTATTTATGATCCAAAACCACCGGTGAACCTACAAGTATCTTCTGAATTTTATTTGCAACACTGATGATGGTAGAATAGTGTTAAATCTGAAATGTTTCTTTGGAATATATGGTATTTATATGATGTGTTGATTTTCTAAATGAAAATAAGTTAACACATCGTCTATAGTGCACAAAAGTAAACATAAATTTAGTGCATGATTAGTATTTGTTTGCTCATGGGCATGCCCAAAGTTTTATTACACACTGCTATAATCTTAGAATAGCTGAACCAGTTTGCATTAAATTCCCTATATTTACTGAATAATGAGCCTTATTATGTAATAGGCCTGGGATTTTAAGAGGTTAAAGGTACCATAACTTTTGCACAGGCCACTTCTCATAAAACAATGCCACAGGTATGTTTGTGACCATTTGGTACAATAACTTGTGTGATAGCTTTTAGAGTCTGATGTCTGGTTCCTATCACACCACTGTAAGCAATTCTGACTTGGTTAGTTTCTCTAAAATGGAGCATTTCACACCAAACCACTCTGAATGACTTTGTTCACGTGTTAAAGTGTAAATTATGGAGACTATTTGAAAATTGGTGGAGTTCTCCTTTAACCTGCCTCAGCTAAAACTCCACAGCATTTTTACAGTACAGAAAAAGTGGAGATTTGTCCAGTTATGACATTCTGTGTTCTGCTCTGACCCACTTTGACTATTCAATATTATAGTATTCTGCAGTGGCCTGCTTTGGCCCAGTATATCCTGTAGAGGCTGGCTTTGACCCAGTGTACCCTGTAATGGTGTGCCTTGGCCCAGTATATCCTGTAGTAGCCTGGTTTGGCCCATTATATCCTGTTGTGGCCTGCTTGGCTGAGTATATGTTGTAGTGGCCTGCTGTGGCCCAGTAAATCCTGTTGTGGCCTGCTTTGGCCCAGTATATCCTGTAGTGGTCTGCTTTTGCCCAGTATATCCTGCAGTGGCCAGCTTTGGCCCAGTATATCCTGTAGTGGCCTGCTTCAGCCCAGTACATTCTGTTGTGGCCTGCTTTGGCCCAGTATATCCTACAGTGGCCTGCTTGGCCCCAGTGTATCCTGTAGTGGCCTGCTTTGCCCAGTATATCCTGTAGTGTTCTGTTTTGCCCCATTATATCCTGTAGTGGCCTGCTTTGGCCCATGTTGACCCATCGCGACCCCCTTTGTGGCAAGACAAGATTACACACAGCACGCGCCTATCTCACACTCCACTTGCTTGCTTATGAGCCCCTGTTTCACGCTGCAATTTCCTTTTTTTCACTCTCATGCTGGATGCAGCCTGCACGAGCGCAGCTTTTGTGATGCAAAGCAGGGGAGCCTCTCTTTCTATTAATTATGTATGCGGAAGATGACTGAGTCATATGCGCGCGCTTCAACTGTCGCATCCAGCACATGTTCACAAATCTTGGCTTCGGGCTGCCTTTAGTTCAGTCTGTTCTTTATTGGATAAGTCGCAACGATTTATTTGGTATGGAGAAATGGTTATGACTTACAGATTTCTTTACAGTGGTGGTGATAGGAACCTGGGGTCACAATATCTACAACACAAATATAGCCACGTGTCTTCTGAATTTTATGTGTAACACTGATGATAGTAAAATAGTGTTAAATCTGTTTCTTTGGAATCTACAGTATTTATAGGTTGAGTTGATTTTGTAAATGAACATAAGTCAACATCCTCTACAGAGAACAAACTTAAATACATTTCAGTGCATGATTACTATTTATTTGCTGAGTTTAACATTATGGGGAAAAACTAAAACATGAAATATTAACCCCTTAACAGACCAGTTCATACAATTAGTTCATGCAGCGGCTTCCATTTAAAGTGTAGTTGCGCCTCATTGGCTATTTCAAAAAATACGTCACGATGGAGCTGAACGCATTTGTTGAATGCGTAAAAATACTGAAGGAAGACGCTGGATAGCAGCTTTGTTGTCATTTACCGTTGTCCCCGCCCCCCTCCCCACAACACCGTTTTAATTTCAGATTCTGATGGACGTCTCCTCCTTCTGGCAAGATGAGAGCCCCCCCTCTGTAGGAGGTTAGGCTGCCAAAGCCTCACGCATAAGTGTGTGTGCGTGTCTGCCGAAAAGCCATCAGACCGTAAAGCAGAATAGAGGTGGGGTCCCCCGCCCCTCCGCCCTCGCCGCGCGCCCTTGGGGCCACCGTGCGTCTGATAAAACCCCCTCAGGTACATCTGCTTAGCAATCTGCAAATCCTCCTCCAAGCGCGAGCTCGCTCGCAAAGCCAAGCAAAGCCAAGCCTTCCCTCAGCCTCCTCCCACTCGCATCCGCAGGGAGCACGCCGTCATCTGATTGGCCGGGGATGAGGCAAGCGTAGGGAGGGGGCGGGCGGGGGGAAAGGGGAGGGGGAACAATGTCATCATTTCTGCTTAAAAACGAGTGCAGCTATGCTTTAGTAATGAAAAGCGTCTGATGTAAAGGGGAGGAAAGGAACAGCACGGAAACCCCCCCTCCCTCACTCCCACCCAGCAGAAACAAAAAACAACAACAACAACAGCAGCAGCCTGTTTGAGCTCCGGGGGAACAAAAAAGTGCCTTTCCGCGTGCAAAAACATCGCAGAGATGCCGAGAGGATTTCTGGTCAAGAGGAACAAGAAAGCAACGCCCGTGTCGTACCGGATACGCACGGATGAAGAAAACGAAGCGCCCGGCGCGCGCAGCCCAGGACGCACGGCGGTGGCAGCATCAGCAGCGTCAGCCTCAGCCTCAGCCTCAGCATCAGCATCGTCATTATCATCCCCATCGTCGCTGACCATGAGGGGGGACTGCAAGCCGGTGCAGTTCGGAGACCCCGAGGCTGTGTGCCTGTCGCTCTACAGCCCCACGCGACCGGTCAGCAAGGAGCACGAGCGCGCCGGCTTGGAGAAGCGCTTTAGCCTCGGCTCGCCGATTTCTGCCGAATCTTTCCCGAGTCCCGCTGCTCTACACAGCCTGGACCAGCTCTTGCTCGCTCCCGTGGACCTCAAGATAGGCACGAGCAACAGCAACCGAGGCGCGAACGCGATCGCGAGCGCTCCCGGGAACGGGAACGCGCCTAAACGGTCGTCCTCCTCCTCCTCTTCGTCTTCGTCCGAGGCTGAGCGTAAAAACAAGCCCAAGCGCCCCAAAGCCATGAGGAAGCTGCAGTTCGAAGACGAAGTGACCACTTCTCCGGTGCTGGGCCTCAGAATCAAGGAAGCTCCCGAGGGGCACGAGGAGGCGCGCGCTGGGACGCAGAAGCAACCGCTGGGCGAGTTCGTGTGCCAGCTGTGCCGCGAGGCGTACGCGGACCCGTTCGCGCTCGCGCAGCACCGCTGTTCCAGGATCGTGCGCGTGGAGTACAGGTGTCCCGAGTGCGAGAAGGTGTTCAGCTGCCCGGCCAACTTGGCCTCGCACAGGCGCTGGCACAAGCCCAAGCCCACGAGCGCAGCGCAGGGGCAAGAGCAAGGTGGGCAAGGTCAGGTCAACAAGAGCGCGCAGGACAAGAGCAGCTCAGAGAGCGACAGGGACACCGTGAGTCCGGGCTTGTCCGAGTCTGGATCTGAGGAGGACGGCGCGTGTGAGTGCCAGCACTGCGGGAGGAGGTTCAAGAGGCACGCGTACCTGAGGAAGCACGTGCTCGCGCACCACAACCACCAAAACCACCGGTTTGAGGAGGATGGAAAGGTCGAGAACGAACCGCCCCAACATCAAGCCCAAAGCCAACCACACGTTCAGCATCAACCACAACCTCCTCTCAACCTGAGCTCCCAGGACGTCCACATATGTCCCATCTGTGGCGAGTCCCTCCCCAACCGCGCGAGCCAGGAGAGGCACGCGCGCCTCCGGCACGCCTCACGCGCATTCCCTTGCAAGCATTGCCCGGCCGTCTTCTACAGCTCCCCTGCGCTCACGCGCCACACCAATAAGTGCCACCCGTCCGAGAACAGGCAGGTGATTCTGCTCCAGGTGCCCGTGCGGCCGGCCTGCTGAGCGCAGTCCGTTCCGATCAATCCCACTTTTACGCACGGCTCCTACAACGAACGCGTCTTGATCGCGCGCAACAGAGAGACTCCACATCTCCACCTTTACGCAAGACCCCTGAGTGTGAAGGAACGCGCGCGAAGAGACACGACAGAAACTTGAAAACCCCAGAGACTCCAAATTTTCACTTTTACGCACGGCTCCTGCGCCTTTAACGCGCGTCCCTGTATCGTGAACGCGCTCACAGGACACGACAGAGACTAAACTCCAGAGACTCCGAATCCTGCACTCCTATACGAAGTGAAGAAAAAGCACTGTTTAGACTGTTAAATTATTTTTCTAGAATTCTTCTGCAGTAGCTCCTAGACCTAAGAAGACCTGTGTGCCAATACAGCAAGATGCCTTTCAGTCCACAGGCCTATCCACTTACATACACACCTACACACATTTAGCTTTAATAGAGCTTGTGAATCTGTGGACCTTTGGACTCTAGCTTTTCCTCCTGTCCCTCACACCTTAAAAGGGTTCCCCCCTTTAGCGTAGCCAGAAATGCCTTGAAATGATAGCTCTTTTTCCACAGAGGCTCCGCTGTAAACCTGCCTTAATCATGTAAACATGGGCTGATTGAATGTCTTATTTATCCTAAAGTGCGTTGAAACGGTGTGCTTATTATTTTTATATCAATCCAAGGTGTGTTCTTTCACACTGGCTTTTATTTATCGATTATGTATTTATTTATTGCAAATGTTTTATTTAAATTATTCTGTCGAGTGGTCAGTGTGTGGGTTAGGGCTAGGCGAGTTTTTGAAGCAGCCAAAAGTTGATTTGAGTGATGCGTCGATAGCCTAGGAGTCGAAAAAAGACGAGCTGTCCCACTGCTTTTAGATAGATTTACAATCATTAGCCTATTCCCTATAGGCCAATTAGTTTTTTAAGATCATTACAGTGCTTGTGTGTCTCTCCAGTATTGCTATATGTCCAAATATGAATAATAATAATGATGATAATAAACAATCCAAAAATCTTACATGGGAGTCATGTTGTGGTGGTGTGTGGGTGAAACTGGGAAGGAAGTTACAGCAACTCTAAAAACTTGTAGTGTTCTTTACAGTACTATTGTAGTGAATGCTGTTTATCAACAGTATGTGTTGAAATGTTGCCTTTCTGTGACTTTCTGAGTATCATGCTTAGTGTCAGTCAGCCAGATGGAAAATAAAGATTAATCTCATCTAAGCTTCAAAAAACATCCAGTACATGAACCCTAGAAGGCACTTTGCAAAGCAGTGATATTAATGGAATAAATAAGAGATGTATACCAAGCATTACAGCTCCACAGCATTTGAGTTCGTGTGGAAAATGCCTTCACATTTGAAGACAGAGATTCTCTTAGTCCGTATGTTTGGTGTCTGCTAAGAACATGTTTACAGTCATATCACCTGTTTTTCCCCGATACTGTATTTGCAGGCAATGCTGATGTATTTAACATAACTTAACATAACATCTTTAGGCTTAATCGCTGACTGGGTAGACTGACCCTAAGAGTTTTAGACTAAAGACTAAAGACATTCAAAAGTTTTAGCTGGTCCAATGTTTCCTTTATTAGAGAGATTAGATTAAAGTTTACAACATACAAATAGCTCAACCAGTTTGCACTGAAGTCCCTGTTACTGAAATAAAAAGCAAAACATTTTATAATCCTGGTATTTTAAAGGGTTAAAACATAAACATGTTTCAAGTTTTCAGATCAGATTATTGTGGTTACTGTTACTAGTGTTGCTTTTGAGTTTGAAAAGGGTCAAATCACGCTGGGGTCTATTTACACACACACACACACACACATACACCTATCTATCTATCTATCTATCTATATATATATATATATATATATATATATATATAAATACTTTGTATTTAGCTTTTTGTGCTGGCCAAATGCCCTCAGCTAGCAGAACAAATCTTGTGTCTTCAAAATGGTAACATTACAAGAGAATTAGTAATGCAAGTTAATGTAATGAGGCATTTTGTACAATTTATCATAACATAGTTTATCATAAAATTTAAATACAATGCAAAGAATAGCTGGTGGCTTCAAATTATGCAAAAAAAAAAGAGGATGCAAGTTTTTTGTGTGACAGTGACAATTTACTGATTGTGGTGAGTAATATTACAAATTATGCTAAATATTTCTAATAATTATGCTAAATATTTCTATAAACATTTCTGTGCACATGAATATGAATAAGACATTAGAATGATAAAAACATGCTGTAAAAGAAAATAACAGCACAATTACAAACAGGAAAAAATAAGTCACAATGCTTTTAGGCATATGCAGCCTGAAGAAAAATGCTTTCAATGTCTGTCAAGCTTGCAGTCCTTATATTCTCTGGCATGTAATTCCAGAGTGGAGGAGCTACATAAAAATATTCTTCATCAGCTGAGCTGTAGGAGATCCTGGGAGTTTGCAGTAGCTCAGCTGAATGAAGTGGTCAGGAGGCTTCAGCAGATCAGTAAGATATACTAAGACTGAATTAGCTCAAAGGAATACTGCATGAACTAATTTCTCAGCATCTTGCAGGGACAGCTTGTGTCTCATTTTGGACATGTTTCTTAGCTGCTCTCCACAGGTAAAACTGATGTTTTGGTTGCTGAATTAAACTATTTAGTTTGCTGTACTGCAGTAAAAATGTAAAAATCTGTAAATTAATTCTGACACTTTCTCATTATCAGCCTGTATCAGTATTTACGAGTCACATAAACAAACTGACTTGAGTTGCTTGCGAGGCTAGACTTCTTATTGTTGTTATTCATAACAGCAGATGTGGGCATAAAGTGCAAAAGTGTAAAAGTAAAAAAAATCTTGACATGGGAACATTTTTGGTAATTTTTGGTCTATGATAACCTACCTCAGTTACCAGTCATTGTTTTTACTGTGTGATGAGCAGCAGGCAGTAATGTGTTGTCTTTGTTTTTACTGTACAGAGCTGCTGTTTTTACTATGTTTCACCAGAGAGTCTGATAAGTTTTCAGTGGCTCAGCTGCCACTGTGAACATAATGTTCCTCTGTATGTTTCTTAGTAACATGGTAGTGATCTTTGGAGTCTGCTAGAATTTATGAGTGCACTGTGTGAGACTGCAGTGCCCTTAAAATCACTCTGGAATTCCATTTTATGAGTCAGACACTAAAAAAAAAACATCCAATGTATGTAATGAAGCCCTTAAACGCTGATAGAGATACATTTCAGTCACAGCCGAAACACACCACAGTTACAGGCATACCTACTATAGGGTGTGTGAGTGTGTATGAAGGGTGTATAGTGACTGTGAGGGTACAAGCTGCTAGTGAAAGCTCTCTCACACTCACACCTGGGCTGCACCTGCTTCAGCCTAGCAACCAACTCACCAACTCAGCAACAGGAGCACCCCCCCAACACACACACACACACACACACACACACACACCCACACACACACACACCAAGCCCAATGTCCCATGACACTCAGCAATATGCCATCACCTAGAAACACAGGACACTAATTACAGCACATATATAGCACATCTATAGTAAAAATACTGCACATACATACCACACATACAGCACATATAACAGTAAAAGTACTGCACATATATGGTACATATGGTAAATATATAGCAAATATACAGTACATATACAGGAGATACACAGTGAATATATGATAACTGTACAATAAATATTCAGTACAAATACAGAACGTATGCAGTAAATTTCCAGCAAATACACAGTAAATACACAGCAAATCTAAAGACAGCTAATACACAGCATAACTAGCAAATATACTGACAATATACAACTAAAATGCAGCAAATATGCAGTAAATGTACTGATATGATGCTGCAAAGCATCCATCATCTGTCCTTCATCTTCCGAATTCTGGCAAGTTAAGAACTGCACTGTTCCCACAGGATGCGGAAAATCTAGTTCATGCCTTTGTCATCTTGAGTGGGATTACTGTAATACCCTGCTCTCTGGATGTTCTAGCAAAAGCCTTAACAAGCTTCAGTTAGTCCAGAATGCTGCAGCCAGAGTTCTTACAAGAACCAGAAAGTTTGATCACATGAACCCAGTATTATCAACACTATACTGGTTGCCAGTTAAATTCTGCACTGAATACATTCTGCTGCTATAAAAAGCACTAAAAGGCCTTTTCTCTTATAATGAGCCATCATGCCTACTTACATCACAAGGTACTGGTTTACTATTAGTACCTAGAATTGATAAAGTTACATCAGGGGGTAGAGCCTTCTCATACAAAGCCCCCCAGCTTTGGAATAATCTTCCAGGCAGTGTTCGGGACTCAGACACAGCCTCAGTCTTTAAGTCTATGCTAAAAACCTACTTGTTTAGTCAAACCTTTGGTAATTAGTTGAGTGGAGAGGAGGGGCGCGAAGGAGACATCTCAGGGACCCCTCATGTCTTTGCTACCTTCTGGCTCTCCCACTTAGTTAGGCTGTCATAGCTAGTCTGCTGGCGTCTCTGCTGATTCCTTTATTAATTTTTCTCTCTCTTCAATATTTGATTGCAAAATCATTTCCTCTGTTCATGTTGCTCAAGTTGTGTTATTGTTTGCTCTCCGGTGTCGGCCAGAGGAGGATGGGTTCCTCTTTTGAGTCTTGGTTCCTTGGTTAAGATTTTTTCCTCTTGCTCTTAGAGAGTTTTCCTTGCCATTGTCACCATTGGCTTGCTCAATGGGGGCTTGGACCTGTATTTTTCTGTAAAGCTGTTTTGTGACACCTGTTGTAAAAAGCACAATATAAATAAAATTTGACTTAATGCTGTTATACAGCAAATACAGAGTACATACACAGCAATATTATATCAAATATAGAGCAAAAATGCAGTATATGTACTGTAAATACTATAAATAAACAGTCAATATACAGAAAATATACAGTAAATACACAACAAATGTACAGCAAATATGTTCTGTGTTATTACTGTATATTTATCGTATCTTTGCTGTATATTTACTATAACCAGCTTTACAGCATTATAACAGCAGACATACAGCAAAAATACTGCAAGTATATAGTAAATATAAAGCAAATATACAGCACATAAGTATATATGCAGCACATATACAGTAAATATACAACACGTTTACAAAAAATGTATAATACATATACATACGATATACATTGCATATATGCTATACATTTCCTGTGTACAGCATATTTGAATTAACAGGATAAATCATCTTTAAGTGAAAGTTATTATACAACAATTTTATTCCAAGTAATTGGAGCATTTCAGTTGGTCCATTCGTCATGAAATTTTCACACAATGTAACCGGCAGCTGTTTTCCTAACAAGGATGACATATTCAGCTGCTATACAGCAGATATAAATCAGATATACAACAGATCTGGAATATCTGCTGGAAACACAGTTCAATCAAAATGGCATGTATGTGCACCTGCTTAGTTGTTGCAGGACATTTTCAGAAGCTCAGTGCAGAGGTTGGTTTGTGTGCTGCGGTCCAGTTCATTTTAGTAAGGCATAAAATTTAGCCGTACTAGACTGTAAATTCGAATAAAATAGCAAAGCCTGAAAAAGTTAAGGTGACTGATTTTCTTGATTTCTATCTCTATAAAATGAAAACTTAGGACTTTGCACAACTGACAGGTTTAGAGTTAATTACACATATTTACAGTCATATGCACAAGTCTGGGCACCTCTGATCAAATAACACATTTTATTGATTTTCTAAATAAGTTAATACATTCTCAGCAGGGGTGCACAATTACTGTTTATTTACTGAATTTAGCATCTTGGAAAAAATAAACAAAATATGTGGCCTTGGCAAAAGTTATGGCACATTATGAATGTATGTTTTTTTATATGTAAAACTTAACTAAACATGTACATAAAGTAATTCAAATAATTAAAGCAATTAAAACTCAGAATTACATAGAATTACAAACAACTGCCTTTAAAACAACCAGAATCAAAATTTCAGGGGGTATCATTAGTTTTGTGTACGTTTGTGT